CACCTTCTCCAGGGTGAGTTAAAGGGTTCTCAGTCCTGGATGGTTTGGCTCAGCTATCAGAGCATCGGCCTGTGGACCATAGAGACCCGGGTTCGGTTCCCGCTACGGGCACGCACCTCAGTTGCAGTTTGTCCCTGGCCCTGGTTGGGGTTGTGAGGGTGGCAGCCACTCGATGTGTCTCTCTCACATCGATGTTTCTCTCTTTCTCTTTCCCCCTTGCTCCCTCCTGCTCTATCTGGAGATAAATTCAAAAATGTCCTCGGGAGAGGATTAAAAAAAAGAGAGTTCTCGTGTCTGCATATCAGAAGTGATAACAGCCTTCTGTCTATTTGGATCATTTTTTATTTCTTCCTTTTGAAAAAATTTTTTTTCCCTTTATTAATATTTTAGAGAGAGAGGAAGGGAGAGAGAGAGAGAGACAGAAACATGGATGAGAGAGAACATCGATGGGCCGCCTCCTGCACGCCCCCCACTGGGGATCAGGCCCACAACCTGGGCACGTGTCCTGACCGGGAGTCGAACTGGCGACCTCTTGGTGCATGGTCGACGTTCAACCACTGAGCCACACTGGCCGGGCTACTTGGATCATTTTAACATGATGGAGTACTCTCAGAACATCCGGATACATTGAGTGTTATGAACACAGATTTCAGGTCCCTGAAACAATAGTGTAATAAAACACTCATATTTCTGCCTTATTAATTTATGGAGCCATTAAAACCACACCTTGCGATAAAGAAACAAAGAGTTATGCCTACTCTTCTAGGTGACCACTTCAAGTTCTTACTTTGAACGACAAACTACAAGGACAGGACTTTGACCCTTGGTGCAAATCTTACCTTCTACATGAACTGTTTGACTAAATTTGCATATCAGGTTAAAATTGGACCTTTCTTCTTTCTTTTTTTGTTTTTATCCTCACCCAAGGACATTTTCCCATTTGTGTTCAGATAGAGTGGGAGGGAGAGAGAAGAAAGAGAGAGAGAGAAACATCACGTGAAAGGGACACATCGAGTGGCTGCCACCGCATGACCAACCAGGGCCGGGGACAAACTGCAACCGAGGTACGTGCCCTTAGCAGGAACCGAACCCAGGTCTCTTGGGACTGCAGGCCGACGCTCTAACCGCTGAGCCAAACCGGCCAGGGTCTTATTTGGCTTTTAAATTCTCTCAACCCTCATATGTCCAAGGAGAAAGGCCCAGGCTGGGTGGTCATGTCTTGACATTGTCTGGTGCTTGGTGATCTCCTGCTTGAACCTGGAGAACACGCCTTGGGCTCTGGGCCTTTGGCAGGAAAAGGGTCCTACTGTAACTTGACATCTTCCTGTTTCCTTGTATTTATTTTATGGTTACTTCTATCTTGGCAGCAAAGACTGTTTTCCCATTTGGAGAAGTTTCCTTCTTAAATAAATAGATGTAAACACTTTGACTCAAAGACAAATAGGAGGCGTCCGAGCAGCTGGCACTGGGACACTGAGATGTCTGAAGGGGCAGGAAAAGGCAGCGATTGGGAGGCACCGATACAAGTCCCAGGAGACATTTTCCTGTCACTGTATTTATCAGGTAGGCAACCATCTCACCCAAATCCGGGCTCTCTTCCTTCCCTGGGCCTCGGTACCTGGGGCAGGTGGTCTGCTCTGGCCACCATGCCGTCCTGAATCTCAGTTAAAGCATCTGACACCCAGAGAAGGTCAGTGGCAGGGGCTGGAATGAGACCACATGGAGAAGGCAGGGTAACCCCTGATTACGCCCCAGACACCACCCCTTATCACTTCCTAGGCGACTGAAACAGGGGTAAAGGGGACCTATTTAAGGCAATATGAAGGGGAATATCTCAAGTGGGAAAATGTTTGTCCACCGTCTTGGTGTTTCTCGTTGAGGAAATTTCTTGACCGCCTTGAATTAAGCACACAGGCGGTGAGCAATGTCCATCCAGGTCACTCTGTTAGGCCCGTTGTGCGCTGGCTTTTTGCTTGTAGGATTAGCACTGATTCTTTGAGATCGCTGTAGATTCCCACGCAGCTGTAAGAAATAAAGCAGAAGGGTCCCATGCACTTCACCCAGGTCCCCCAGTGGTGTCGTCTTGCAGAAACCAAGGGCGATATTGCAGCCAGGACACTGACCTCAGCAAAGGACAGAGCGTGCCTACTACCAGGAGGGTTTCCCATGTTCTTCCACAGCCTCGTCACCCCCACATGCTGCCCCCCCCCAATCTCCCATCTGCTCTCCATTTCTATTATTTTGCCATTTCAAGAATGTCTTATGAATGGAATTATACAACACACAAGCTTTTGGGGTTGGCTTTCCTTCACTCGGCCTACTTCCCAGGAATTTATCGGAGGTGCGTATCCCTAGTCCCCGCCTCTGCTGCTGAGTATTACTCTGGGGTGTGGATGGACCGACCCACTGAAGGCCGTCCGGGCTGTTTCCAGTTCTGGGTGACTATGACGACAGCTGCTTAGAATACTTCACACACAGGTTCTTGTGTGAACATGAGTTTCCGTTTGGCTGGAATAAATGTCCAAGAGTGTGTGTGTTTGTTTTTAATGAATTAATCTCATCCCCTTGCAGTCGGGATGTTTCACGTACAAATCCATGTTCCTGATTTTCTCCTCGGTAATGGGAACATCTGGAGAGATGGAGTCATGGGCTCAGGATCCCAGTGGGACAGGATGCTTCAGTCCCCTCAGGCCCTGCCAGGCCCTGCAGTCACTCACCTGCCTGGCGAGGCTCCTGGTTTGCCAATGGGAGTGGGCAGAGGGGGAACATACTGAGTGCTATCTTGATTTTCATATGTACACGTCTGTATGTGTACACACTTTTTCTGGAAGTGTATTCAAGCAGAAGGTACTGGGGATGGGCAGCCGGGGGAATCACTTTCTCTATGAGCCCTTCGGAGCCTTTTTAACTTAAGCCATCAGACTATAAAATCAGTAAAATGTGCTCGGCCAGTGTGGCTCAGTGGCTGAGCGTCGACCCTGCACCAAGAAGTTGCCCGTTCGACTCCTGGTCAGGGCACATGCCCAGGTTGTGGGCCTGATGCCCAGTGGGGGGCGTGCAGGAGGCGGCCAGTCGATGTTTTCGCTCATTGATGTTTCTCTCTCTCCCTCTCCCTTCCTCTCTCTCTAAAAAAAATAAAGAAAAAAAAGTAAAAAACAAAACAAAACACTCCTGCCCTGGCCAGTTTGGCTCAGCAGTTAGAGCGTCGGCCTGCGGTCTACCCGGGTTTGGTTCCCACTAAGGGTACGTACCTCGGTTGCAGTTTGTCCCCGGCCCTGGTTGGGTTGTGCGCGTAGCGACCATGACCACTCGATGTGTCCCTTTCGCGTTGATGTTTCTCTCTCTCTCTCCCCCTTCCACTCTATCTGAACAAGGTATCGAAAAACGTCCTCGGGTGAGGATAAAAAACAACACTCCTGCCTTAAAAAAACAATCAGTAAAATGTGCAAAGCAGAACACAAAGATTCCCTCACACAGACCCCTCTGGGGCTGGCTGAGCCAAACTGGCCAGGGCTGGCCGCTTTTTCTGACAACTCTTCTGTTTCTTTGGATAAAATAACCCGCGGGTATTTTCCCCCTCAGAGCACCTGGTTACACCCAGGGAGGACCTCCCAGATCTGAGATAGCTGGAGGGTCCCCCCACCCATATGCTCCCTGGTCTGGGGACTTCAAACACCCCTCATCACCACCCAAGCCCGGTGACTCCTGAAGTCCAGTGAGGTGTCCATGCCCAGCCCAGGGGTCACCTCCTCCCAGCCTTCCCCAGCTGACTGAAGTCTAGCTTCTCCTTCTTGGTCAGGTGGTGGCCCCCTGTGTGCCTCCCCGCTGGGTGCTCTCCACCAGCAGGGCCTGCGCAAGGGGCCGCTCCTTTCTGACCTCCCCTAGGCCGACCCCTCCCAGCAGCAGATGAACATTTCGGAGACAGGGGCGCACCTGGTGCCCGCTGACCCCACCCGCGCACAGTTCATGACAAACACAACCGTCGACCCCAGCGCACAAAAAGCACATTGAACTTAAAATCCGGGATTTCTGCAGATGAACTTGGTGATGCCCAACTCTCTGCGGCCCCAGCTCCTGCCAGCGCGCCCTTAGTCCGCCCTGAGTCACCTCCCCGCGCTTCGGGAAGCCAGTGGGCGCAACGCAGAAAACAGGGCTCTGGGGTCGGAGATGCCCAAGCGCCGCCCCTGCTGGCTGAGTGCGCTTTGGGCCACTGACCCTGCTCCTCCCGGAGAGCCAGGGTCTCGAAGGGCTTTCCGGCCACGAAGGGGCAGGGGGCACCCGCGGGCCTCGGTGCTCCCCGGGTCTCCTCCCCTGGCGGAACCGCGTCCTCCCTGGGAAAGCAGGGCCGGGGCGAGGCGCCCACTGGTTCCCCGGTGCCCGCGGCTCCGCGCGCTCACTGAGCTCAAGGGGGGTCGAACCCGGCGCCGCCGCCGCTCCCCGCCCGGGCCCAGAGGCGCTGGGCCCAGCCCCGGCGCGACCGCGGGGAGCTGGAAGGGTCCAGAGGGACGCGCAGCACCGCCGGGGGTGCAAACCAGGGGGTGACCGTGGAGCCGGAGCGTGCTCACGGCTTCCCGCGCGGGCCAGGGCGTCGGGCAGGCGCTCGGGGTCCCCCCCCCTCGCCGCGCCCCCCCTTCGCCATGTCCCCCCACGCCGCGTCCCCCCACCCTCGCCGCGTCCCCCACCCTCGCCGCGTCCCCCCACCCTCGCCGCGTCCCCCCACCCTCGCCGCGTCCCCCCACCCTCGCCGCGTCCCGGGGCGCGCTCCACCTCTCACCCCGGACTGCGCGGCCCGGGCACGCACCCCGCACCCCGACCCTCCGCCTGCCCCGCGTGGCCGCGAGTGGGGGCGCCGCGCGCTCGGCCCCGCCCAGGCCCAGGAAGTGGCCCCGGCCTGGCCCCGCCCCTCCCGCCGCGCTCAGCACCTGCCGGCCGGCGCGGGGCGGGGCGGCGGCGCCGGGGAGCGGGCGGGCGCCGGGCCGCGGGAGGTGCCGGCGGCGAGGATGGCGGCGCGCGCGCGGGGGCCGCTGCTCGCGCTCTCGGTGCTGCTGGCGCTGGGCCCCGCGGCCGCGGCGGCCAAGCTCAACATCCCCAAGGTGCTGCTGCCCTTCACGCGGGCCACGCGCGTCAACTTCACGCTGGAGGCCTCGGAGGGCTGCTACCGCTGGTGAGGCCCGGGGGCCGCGGGCGCGGGGGAGGCGGCGGCGGGAAGGCGGCCGGAGGCGGCGGGGCCGGCGGCGGGCGCCGGGCAGCAGGTGCGGGGCCGGGCGGCCAGGCCGCAGCCGCTGGTCCGGTGACCTGGCGGCGCGCACGCGGGTCGCCGCCGCCGCGCGGGAGGCCGCCTGGGCCCGGCCGGTGACCTGAGCGTCCGCGGGCTGCGGGGAGGAGGGGCCGGCCCGGGGCCTCCGCAGGGAGAGGAGCGCACGGGAGCGGCGTGGTCGTCCTGTTCCCAGTCCGGGGAGCAGGGGACCAGGCCCTGCACGCTCTCTGCGGAGAAGGTTTCTCGGGTTTGTCCCGGCGCCACACTGCTGTGGGGATCAGCACTGGAGCACGTGTGGGGGTCACCTCACATCCCCGCAGCGCCTTTGGGAGGAACGTCCGCCTGTGATGGAAGGTCTTTGGGGGAAACGCTAGGGATCCGTTTGACACAAAGGGGTGGTGGGTGAGTCACCCGGTCCCCCAGAGTGGAGTTGGCCAAGCTGCCGTGTCTCTGTCCTATTTCGAAGCCCCTCCTGGCTTCCCAGGGGAACTGAGGGGTTCTGTGCTCTTAGGGGGTGTGATCTGATAAACCCCAGATACTAATGAAACCAGAGGGCTGGGTCCCCTTCCCCACAGCAGGGACACCCGGCTGGGCTCCTGGCGGGGCAGGGTGATGGGGTCCAGCCTTTGCATCCTGTAGATGGGGAGCATTTGGCTTCTGCTCCCAGCAGAGTGGACACAGCCCTTGGGGGGACTGAGGTCCCCACTCACACTTCACAGGTGGGCCTTGCTGGAGATGAGCAGGAGGAGGTAGTCTCCTGCCTGGACACCCCCCACGGTACACCTTTGCTCCTCCTTTTCTTTCCTAGTCTCCAAGCTGGGTTAGTATTGAGGCTTATCAGGGTGGGATCACATGGCAGAGGTGTGTGTGTGTGTGCTCAGTTTGAAGGTTCATCTGTGCACGTGTGGTGCCCAGGGCAGCATTTTTCCTTCCTGGGCACCTTCTATGTTTGCGGGGGGCCTCCCCAGTGAGGGCCTGCCACATCCGCCAAGTGTGTTCTGGGTTCAGTTTCCCCTGTGCCTGCCGGTGTTGTTTCTGGCTGGTTGTCAGAGGCTGATCCTCCGCTTGAGTTTTGTGTGTCCCTGCCTAGGGCTTTGTCTTGTGTGGGACGATCCCGTTAGTCCATGCTTTGTGGGAGACACATGCTCACTCTCTGGTTGACGTGGTCTGTTCTCTTGCTATATCGGCGAGAAAGACAAAGCTGTGGCCGGTGTGGCTCAGTGGTTGAGCGTCGACCCTGCATCAAGAGGTCGTTGGTTGGATTCCCGGTCAGGGCACATGCCCAGGTTGTGGGACTGATCCGCAGCGGGGGGTGTGCAGGAGGCGGCCAGTCGATGTTCTCTCTCATCGATGTTTCTCTCTCTCTCTCTCTCTCTCTCTCTCAAAAATCAATAAAAGGAAAAAAATTTTTAAAAAGAAAGAGAAAGCTGTTTATTAAAAACAGCTAGTTCGCAGGCATATTTGTATGCCCCTTCCTTGCTCTGACATTCTGTAGCTGTACTTCTACCCCCCCCACCCCCCAGTAACCATCTTTTTTGTTTTGTTTTTCCCCCCGAACTGCATTTTCTTCCAAAAGGAGCTGACAGACCAGGGGAACTTGACTTTGCTTGTGTAGCTGCCTAGGAGGGAGGGGAGACAGCATCGTGGTCTCTGGAGCAGCCCCCAGCAGGTTGTCACCTGCTTCGCCTCCGAGCCATCGTTTCTGGGGCAGGGGTGTGACTGCCCGTCTTGCTGTCTCCTCAGAGGTTTTGGTGGCTGTGATTTTCCTTTAACGTCACAGGAAAATCTCCCGTCCGCCAGGCGCTGACCATGTGTTCTCACTTGTAGTGGTGCTGTTCCAGGGTTTATCATCATCGTTCAGTTCAGTGATTTCCAGCCTCTTCCGTCCCTTGGCACACGCAATCTCGTGCCTCACACTCTGCGGCACACCAGAAAAAGACACGTTTTGCCGATCTGACAAAAACAGGTCTGCTTTTGACGCGCACCAGACAGCGATGGTCGTGTTGGCTGTTGCCGTTTTTGTGTCCGACAGTCTAAGGGAAGAGCGGTCAGTGCCTTTACCGAACAGTCAGGTAGGGCCTGTTTCCCACATTTTTGAAAGTTGAAGTCGCCGGTGTCGTTGGTGTGAAGAGAGCTGTACATCTGCAGCCATCGAAGCTGGGGGGGGGGTACCCTCTACATCCAGGGTGTTCGTTGTTAAGTCCCTGTGAGGACACACACGCAGAGCGTCCCCTCTCCCGAACCTTGGGGTCCTTTTTGCGCATCCTTTGAATCGGAGGTCAAGGTCCACGTTGACCGAAATCACGTGCCTGAACCAAGAAACAGTTCAGTCTTCCTGTTTCTTGGTTTTGTAGCATCAAGTAATGGGACGGTTTAGGGCCAGAGGAACCACAAAGATCATCGCAAAAACTGCCCGTGTTTCTCTGTGAGCCTCGGAGAGGGACCTGCTGAATGTGACATCCTGTCGTGTGACGTCTGTGGTTGAGCGAGACCCCTAGGGTGCTTCTGTCCCACCCATTCAGGAGCTCACAGCCCCTGGCTGATCTCCAGACTAACTCCCTCCCTCCAGTTACCCCCAGCATTGCTGCTTACGGCACAAGTCCTGACTCTGGGTATTTTGTGTTATTGAAAGTGCTCCATAAAGGATATTTCATTAGGTCCTTTTTAAGGTATTCTTTGTATAAAAAATGACATTATATAGAAGATTGGGGAAATAGAGGAAAAGAGAGCTATATTGTAATTCTATATTGTAATTCTTCGACGGCGATATAATCCATCAGTCACCCTGTTGGTTTCCTTTTAATCGTTTATTTTTTCCTCAAACCTGGTATTTAGGCCACTTGGTAACTTCTTTTTCTTCCAACCACCAGCTAAAATGAAAGTCCAAGTACTTTTCTTTCTTGAATATTTTTCTTTTTTCTTTTCTTTCTTTATTTTTATTTTATTTTTTGGTATGTGCCCCTAGTGGGAACCGAACCCGGGACTCTCTGGTCCACAGGCCGATGCTCCAGCCGCTGAGCCAAACTGACCAGGGCTTGAATGTTTTTTCTTTATTGATTTTAGAGAGAAAGGAAGGGGAGAGGGAGAGAGAGATAGAAACATGGATGAGAGAGAACATCGACTGGCCGCCTCCTGCACGCCCCCCACTGGGGATCAGCCCACAACCTGGGCATGTGCCCTGACTGGGAACTGAACACTCGACCTCTTGGTGCAGGGTCAACACTCAGCCACTGAACCACACCGGCTGGGCAGAAGTCCAAGTACTTTTCCATGTTGTTTCAAATTCGTCCTAGGTGTTCACTGTCTGAACACCATCCTGCTGCGTGGATGCCACACTGTCTACGTGTTCTTCCCTTGCGGTTGGGTCCCGGGGCGTCTGGCTGTTCAGCGGGCTGCGGTGGACACAGGGAGTGTTTTAGGAGTGTTTTAGGCTTCCCAGAAGCAGAGCCTGAGACAAGGATTCGTGTCTGCTTGTTGGGAAGATGCTCTGTGGAAGGGGCCGGGGAAGGGGCGAGGATGTGGTCTCAGGGAAAGTGCAGCCTTGGCTGGGCCACGGGAATTGCAGGTTGGCCGCCCTCCAGGCAGGGAGAGCCCAAGCCTTCGAGCTTCCTTTTACCCAGGGTCAGCCCCGGGCTGCTCCTGGGGGAGGGGGCCTAGTAGCCTCCCCGTTTCTGAGTGAAGCGCTCCTACGGCCAAGCGTGTTGGACTGGACCAGGTCCAGGTGTGAACGGTGAGCACCGGCACACCCCGTGAGGGGAGGGGCGCACCTGCTGGGGGCGGGTGCCCGACAGGACACAGGCAGGACCACCGATGTGAGCTGTGCCCAGAGCACCCCCTCCCGAGCCGGAAACCTCCCCAGGGCAGCTTGGAGCTGCCTGAGGTGTTTGCCAGGGTTGGTGGTGGACCAGGCCACACCCTCTCACGGTGGGTGGCCTGGGCCCTTCTCAGCCACAGGGTCAGGACTGTTGGGGAGGCTACATGGGCCCCGTGCAGTGTGGCTCATCCTTGGAGTACCCCGTGTCCCAGGCAGCTCAGGCGACCCACTGAGAAGCAGGGGGCATGGAGGACCCCACAGCCCCTTTGTTCTTGCTGACCCACAGCTGTGGGCCAGGAGAGTCTGGCTGCTCCCCGGGAGATGCAGAGATGCACTTCCGGGGTCCCTCTGTCTGCCCCCAGCAGGAGGAAGTTACATTGTAGCACTTTGCAGGCCGAGGGGGGAGGGGAAGACTTCGTCTGCCTCCTCCTGAACCCCCAGCGTGCTGAGCCATGTTGGAACATGGTCCAGTCCCAGTGCCTCCTGCTGGTGCAGGGACTCGGTCTGCCGGACTGAGGCAGCTCGTGGACTGGCAGCCGGACAGGCGAGGCCACGGGACCCGACGGAAACTAGGTCATCAGGCTGTGACGTGAAAGTAAAACATCCACAGTGTGGAAGCGGAACCACCAAGGTGGATTTGGTTCATCTGGAGGCTCTCCGTGTGCGGCCTCAGTCTGCCCCTGTTCGTCGGGTCTGTGGCCCGGAACCGGACTTCTGTCCCGCTGGTCCGGAGTGTTTTTCCGGCAGCCCGTTTGTGGGCGCTGATCATCCTCACACACCTGGCCCGCGCTCTCCGCCTGGGCCTCCGCAGGGGCCTTGGTGTGGTTCACTCTGGGGGTGTATTCTCACCCGGGGGCCGTGTTTGGTGTCACTTCTGGTGGACATCAGAGCACCTGGCTAAGACGGGCTCTCCGAGAAGGGCTGTCCTGCCGGAATGCCCCAGGGACAAGCCCGACACAGTCATACTGCACAGATGAGGGTTGGGGGTTCACTGGACAGGTGGCCGTGATACCTGTGACCCTCACTGTGAGCCGGCGCCGCTGCAGGTCCCGGGGCACAGGTCAGGGAGCGGGCAGACGAGGCCCTACTTTCC